TATATATAACTATACAAATTACACGCCACGTTTTATAAAACTATTCTCATTCGAACAAATATGCATATCTATACTAATATAATATAAAGAAGACAATCATCTTAATTTTTTCTCATTCGTTTGAACGTCTTAATCGCTGGAAATGTACGAATAACAAGCATTTTAAAGCGCATTTATAGAGAAAGGCTATCTAACATCACATTGTAAACCTTAGAAATGAAGCAATTATACACAAATAAAACTACACGAGTGGAGCAGAGCAAAAAAACGAATGAAAATATAATATAACGGTACCAAGTACGTACTTTTTCCAATGCTATTGATCCGAATATTCCCTACTGGTATATAAATGCGAAAGTGTGTTCATTGATCACGTCGACGTGATATTGTGTATGGCAACATGGTTTTAATGGACTAAGATCCCACTGCAAGAATGCTACGTTCATAGCGTATTTAATCGAAATCAATTTTTTATATACAATAATAAAAGTTACAATATGTTTTTGGATTTGAATAGGCGAAAACATATTGTCCCTTTTATTATTGTATATAAAAAATTGATTTCGATTAAATACGCTATGAACGTAGCAATCTTGCAGTGGGATCTCGATCCATAAGCCTGATAGTGACATTTAGGTTGCTGTTTATTCCGATACCTCAAGAGATTCCCGCGGGTAATTATTTTGATGTTAAAAGTTACTTAGGGAAAGAGTTTTTGTTTATAATTTTCTTACTGTTAATGGCATACTTTGAATATTCTTTATAATAAGCGTGTGTTTGTCTAAAATGAACACTAATATAACACCCACTATATTATACCTATAGATACGTTCACAGCGGAGCGCAGAGAGAAGTTATCTATAGGTACATATAATAAAATTCTGAGTCGAATCAGCACATTAAATATTTTTTAGAAAATCTTATTAAATAGTCATTATTATCGATACAGAGGCCAAATCTATAGTTTTAAGAATTTCTGTTTTTATGGAAACGCTTTAGAGAAAATCACTGGACAGATTTTGATGAAATTTGGTATGATGACAGCTGATTAACCACATCCGGGTCCAACATATAGGATACTTTTTACTGCGGGAAAATATCTCATCTCTGAGAAGTCTAAACGTTAAAACATAACTAGGGAAGAACCCGAGTGGAGCGAGGGTGAGTCGCTAGTAGTTAATATACTCAATACTCATAAGACAGTTTCTTAAACCTCAATTTTCAAACACCAATTTTATATACATGTATAATAATAGTAAATATGTAATAAAAATTACTATAAATGTATTAATCTATACATATAAATAAAATTGAAGTACCTATCTGTTTGTAATGTCAAAATAACAATTTTTTACTTAATGCATATAAAATTCAAATTATATACGGTACTTATAAGAAAAACACAATTTTTAAAATGTTTGTTCTACTGTCTGTTTTTTCCGGTTAATCTCCGAAACGGCTGGACCGATTTTGACGGGAATTTCACTGGCAGAAAAAAATAGGATTCCGCTTAAAAAAATAAAAACTTATCAAGGTACGCACTCGAGCAAGACGAGGGTATGTCGCTAGCAGTAAAATATTATTAAAACTTACTATCTACATATATTATATCTATACATCTATCTATCTATACATATAATATAATAAAACTGTAGAGGTCGAATGCCTGTACATAGAAAAAAAATTTAAGAACCGAGTCAGGGAGATGTAAGAAGAGAAATAGAACAAATCCAGTTTTTCTTTCATTTTTTTTGTTTCTCTGTCTGTTTGTCTGTTTGTACGGGCTAATATCCGAAACTGTTGGACCGATTTCAATGAATATTTTGCATATTGGTACCTTATATCCCCGGTCAACATTTTCAATTTTTAGATTTTTCATCCCGGAAAATTAAATAGTTCCCGTGGGATACTTAAAAAACTATAGTACAGCTTAGTACACAAAAACAACTGATTGGATTTATAATAATATAGTTCATACATCAGAATAACAAATAGGCTACTTTTTATCCCGGAAAAACGTACGGTTCCAGTGGGATAGATTTGTTTATGTTTGTTTAGAGGCGAACCAGAGCTAAGCGTGGGTGAGACGCTAGTTTGAAATAAACCCTAACAAATAAATGAAATGACTTTCTCATATACCAAGTGTAATCAGAGCCCTGTGACAATAAAACCATTACAAGACACGAACAGAGGTTGAGCAAAAGTATTACAGAAACACCGTGCGGCAATCAAACATAATTATTTGCGGTTACCGCCAACGTGATTATCTTGACTCTGTTTACTTCACTTTCCTTATGCACGCTTTAAATTACCATGATATTATGTTTATGTACATTCATATACTGAAATTACATGGAATTAGTGTCTTATTCACTTGAGATAGAGTTCTAAATCTACACTAACTTTTGAATTTCTTGTCTGTCTGTCTGTTTGTTTCGTCTGATATCCAAATTGGTGGTTGATTTTGGTGAGATTTTCACTTACAGAGAGCTTATGTTGTAAGGAGTAACTTAGGTTACTTTTATTTTAGAAAAAGAATTAGGATTTCGCTCAAAACCTAAGCGAAGCGAGGATAAGTCGCTAGTCTATGCTAATATTATAAATAGAGAAAAAAGTTTTTTGTATGTTTGTTTGTAATGAATAAACTGAAAATTCGCTGAACCGATTTAGATGAGGTATGAAGATAGTTTGAGACCCTGGGAAAGACATACGATAGATTTTATCCCATAAGAGAGTGAAAAAGGGGATGAAAATTTGTATGGAGAATCAATCATTTCTCAAGTAAGGGATATAAAACTCATCATATCTATGTGTATTGTATTTATATATTATATGTATGTATTAGTTTGTAGTCCATTTTCTCATACTAACCATTAAAAGTTAAAACGTAGCTAGGGGCGAACCCGAGCGAAGCGAGAGTGAGTTAAAATCCATCAAACAGTTTAGGCTACAGAGCGTGCCAAAGAAATATACGTACATACATACACTCGAAATACATAACCCTCCTTCTGGCGTAGTCGGATAAAAATGCTAACACGTATTATGTACAGATTACAGAACGTCAAAACAAAGACCTTGTTGTAAAAAACTTGTCTGTTTATCTGTAAGTCTGATTGCCTTTCACGCAAAAAGTACTGAACTGATTTTGATAAATATTTTGTATAGTGATTACCTACTCAATATTAAACAGATCAACGTTTAGGATACCTTTTACTATAGAAACACCCATTTCCACGGGTAAACACAACAACACTTTCGGCCGAGTTTTGAACAAGTGTTTTAATTCTTAGTATTGTATTCAGCCCTTTTTAACGTCCCACTGCTAGGCACGGGCCTCCCTACAATACGAGGGGGATCAAGCCAGAGTCCACCACGCTGGCCAAGTGCGGGTTGGCGGACTTCACATATCTTTTGAAAACTTGCTAGGTTCTCTCAGACATATAGGTTTCCTCACGATGTTTTCCTTCACCGTTAAGTAATCATGTTGGAAATGATTCGTACAGGAAAATATCAGAGGTGCGAGACCCGGCATTTGAACCCGCTTCACTCGGTTTCCCAAGCGAGCGCGTAACCACCGGGCTACCACCGCATTATTCTTAGTATTATTATAAGAAATTTATGTGAAAAAGTGATTGAAATGTGTGTTTGTGATTAATAAATGTTGCTATATGTATATTAATTTTAAATTGCTTCATTTTGCTAATCTATCTTTATGAATAAATCATAGGTCATTAAAAAACGTACAACGATTTGGCTTTACGAGGTTTATATAGCTATTACCTGGTATTTTATTTCTAAAAAGCAATCAGTGCTACTGATGAAAGGTTAAAAGCCAATATTATTATGTATAAGTTTATTAATGTTCATCGCATTTTATTAGGAGTACTTCATTTATTTTTCTTGTTTTTTTTTTATAATACAAATGAGAACCAAGTCCATGTTCTGAGCAAATCAAAATATTATTACGTATTTTCTAAAATTATTAAGTATTCAAGTAAGATTTAAGAACAAAGTTATACAAAGATATTAATTTTCATTTGAGATATTATTTTTCATTTATCGCACTTCATTTTAATATTATATACTTCGTGATTCAGCGAGTGTTATTAATTATTCAAACTTTAACGGCACAGATTTCAGAAATTTCAACTTCATATTGAGGTACATAATAACTAACAAGCGAAAGGAATTAATCGACTAAATCCATATACGAGTATAGGTATGTCTCGACTGACGGGCTCGACTAGTAATATTTTGACGAAACTTATAAAATTGAAAATGAAGACATTAAAAATATAATATATTTTAGGCCCAAAACACTTAAAACGTGCGAATGTAACTCCCATTTTAACCGACTTCCAAAAAGGAGGAAGTTCTTAATTCATCGGAATCTTTTTTTTTATGCATGTTCACCGATTACTCGATGACGCCTGAATCGATTTAGATTTTTTTTGTTTCAAAGGGTAAACTTCTCAGGTGGTACCATATAAATTTTATCGAAATCGGTCAAGCGTTTTTTTTTAAATCAACAAATAAATTAATTTTTTAAATAAATTGCTTAATGCTACTTTAGATCAATTTTAATTTTTGTACTTATATGTGGACTAAATATCCTTGATGACATAATGATATGTTATAGTATCTGTGTCTACTGTCTTCACATGAATATTAATACAACTTGTTTTGTTATATACCCATTATTTATAAGTTCAATAAATGTTTATAATTTTCAAATATTTAAAATATGTTGTGAGTGAGGTACCTATAGGCAAATATAAATCGAGATAATATCAAAAATATTTAAATTATAACGTTCAAAAAAAGCAATCGAATAATATCTCTAATGACGCGAATAAAACGAATGCCGCGTAAAAATAGTTAATAAAAATAGTAGATGTGTCATTAAAAAATAATGTAGGTTTAATGAAATAGAATGCTGTTAAAAAAATCACTGGTCCAATTTCTGTCAAAAATTTAAAAAAAAAATTATATTTACTCACCGAGACGTTTTGTTGAAATTTGCCTCGTAGAGTAGTTGAAAGGCACATAAATAGTTTGATCGATATTTGCGATTAATTCTGCAGGTAATTTGTCAGCTGAATGCACTTCGTCCAAACACAGCACACTGTCACTACCACATGAGTCACTAATCACTGTTGTAAACTCACGATTCACTACGGAGGCATCACTGTCCTCGTTTTTAAGTAAAACTTTTTGCTCTCCATTTTTATATATCAGGTCGGCTTCACCTTCTAAATTCTCTTGGCAATTTTCGTCTGCCACTACTTTTATTTTGTATACATCAACTGGTCTTTTTGCATGTAAAATGAAATCGGCACGCTCGCCTCTAGCTAAAGTTATAGAACTAACAATTTCTGTTTGGATTCTATGTCCATCTAAAGCGACTAAGCTAAGCGTATGTTGATCGACGAAAAATTTCACTGCACAGCTCTTAAATCCACCACCATATGCCAGTCTGAATCTGTATCGTTTACCATATTCCACAGTAAATTTCGATAGTGGAGCATCTGATGATTCTGGCGTGTTTCCTTTGCCATTTATTAATAGAGATTCCGCATTTGGAATTTTCGATATCACACCAGCAAGTGGACCCATTGAGTGGCCCCATTCTGCTACAAATATAGTGTGTTCCGTCGCATCTACATCATACAGGCTTTGCAATGGGTCAAGTCTGGGTGATTGGCGAACTATAAAAGCACCTGCGAGACCATCTGCGGCGTCTGCAGCTGAATGAGCATGGTACATATGAGTGCCCACGGCGGAAGCACGAAATTTGTATTGGAATGTCGTATAGGCAGGTTGTGGGCACTGTGTTAACATTGGAGCTCCATCCATAAATGGAGTTTCCTTTTGAGGTTGGCCACGCCAGTGTATTGAAAGGGCATGTGCAGGGGCGCGGTGAACAACGTCGACTACAAGAATGTCGTTTTGGCACACGTGAAGCGCAGGAGCAGGCAATTCTCTGTTTGCTGAGAGCACCCCACGCTCGCGGCCATCTGCTGTTATACACATAGATGGACAATCGCTGCCATCTTCTGCACAATTGTTACAGGATCTAAGAAGAAATAATTCTATTATTTTAGAATAGTTCTAAAAAACTAATATAATTTTACTTTAAATGTCACACTTACTTGCTATAGGTTTTGTAAACCTCTATAACTAACTTGACGCGGCAAATCATGGGCCAATCGAGTTCATGACACTGGCGATCGCAGTTTTCGAAATACTCCTCTGTAATGAAAAATAAAATCTCATTTTGCTTGATAAATTAATATGTGTAAATTCAATCACCCACCTCAACATTTGAATGATTGATTGACATAATAATGAACCCATTTGAATGTATTTTATTCATACGTATGAAAGTGACAGTACGATCAAATAGTTAGTGCCTAGTTAATAAGTTTTAACGGTTAGTACTTAGTATGGTATAGATATCCATACTTACTTACTTAATATTATAAATGTGAAAATTTGTATGTTTGTTCGTCCTTCTTTCAGGTTGAAACAGAGTGACGGATTGGTGTGTTTTTTTATGTGAATATAGTTGGAGGGCTGGAGAATGACATGGGCTGCTTTATTTTATATAATAATTATATAATATAAACTATCTACCTATATACATAGGTATGAGTTGTTGTTGATAACACTTTTCCGTGGGAATGAGATAATCTCCCGCGGTACAAAGTACCTTATATCACTCTCCAGTCCTCCAACTATCTCCACACAATCCATCACTCTGTTTTAACGTGAAAGAAGCATACATACAAACAGACAAACAAACACACTTTCCGATTTATAATATTAATATTATAATTTATAATATTAAAAGTATGGAATATGACCAAACTATAAATCCGCTAAGACAATCGTTTCCCATAAAACCAAATAGCTAGTCCAATAAGCCAACAGGCGTAAAACTTAACGACAAAGAATAACGACTTTAGATATTTTACTTTAGGTACTACATAAAAAACCCGTACTTATTGGAGATACATAGGTGCTTAGCTAATTAGATTTAATTATTTTATTTTTATTAGTTTTAATTAATTGTCACTTATATTTTTAATTTATTATTATTAATATAGTGATCTGTTAGCATTATATAGATAGGTACTTATTATACAATTTCATTTTTAATAATTTACTATACAATATTTGAATATTATAATTTATAACAATCACTATTGAAGAAAGAAACGAGATGGTCAATTTTTATTTCTTCATCTTCCATCCCATCTAAAAAGTTTATTATTCGCAGTTACTATAGTAACTTAAGAAACTTTTAATTCCTAATATTATATAATATGTATATAAAAACGTATGAAATAATAGTAAAAACGCTAACAACACACAAAAACATCAACTTTGCTCTTGAACAAAACACGTTTTATAATTATAGATATGCACAAATCGTACCTGGCATCGGCGTAAAGTAAACAACAACAATCACACTAGCCATTATAACTAACAACACTACTATCCTTTGGAAGGACATGAGCATGTAATTGGGCTTATTTAACACATCACTATTGGTATCCATCTTCTTTGCTTCCATTTTTGATTTATTATTTTTTTTAATTCAGCCTATGACTCAGAACGATACGATCTGTTATGACATTGTTGTTTAATCTGTGCTTATAAAAATAAATGAATTAAAATTACGCGGCTACGCGAGTCTACCATCAAGTGGCGACTGGAAGAATGGAAACACTTTGCCGCGTGTTGTAACCAATGTAACTTCAGGCATGGCTGAGACTCGAAACGGCTTCAATTCGGAAGTAGTATATTGTACAATCTGAGATTGAACACTCTCTCTGCAGCGTTACGTAATTTATATTATGCAATTGATATTAAATGTTAATGTAGAACGATGCAAGTTACTTCACTTTTGTAAACCTAATTTAAAACATATTAATTGTTAATAGGTAGGTATAACATTGTTTTTTTAATTACAATCCATTTCTTATATACGTGCTAATGGAAAACAACTAACAACTATGCTTGTTAACTCTGTAACGAAATAACCATAATATTTTCATCCCCCAACTGTCTTAAACAAATAACTAAACTTAATAAATATATGTTAATATTAAAAAGTACGATGAAAATAAAAAACTCAAGCAATTATGTTCAAAAGCCAACTTTTTCTTTTACAGGATCTCTTCCATTTAATAATTAATAAAATTATACCGCGCGAATATGATAATGTAATTTTTTTGTTAATTTTTATATCTTAACAGCTCAGACCAATAAAAAGGATTTTATTGGTCTGAGCTTAACAGCTATTACTATTACTTGCTTAGTTTTGTTTTCTAAACTGTAGAAAAATCACAATGGCACACCCACTTTTAATTAAAAAATATACCCGACCGACCCACTAGGAATATTTTCTACAATTTAATATTGTTCATATTCATTAAAAAAATACCTATTTATGAGAATCGATTTACGATTCGGGAATTATAATACAACATACGCCAAAAAATATACAATCTAACAACTACGTCATACATCAAAATTACATTTTCTCTATAGCTAAGCACATTTAAATTTGAAAGAAAATGTTTAAAAGTAAAAGGTTCCGCTAAAAACTAGTGATTTACAATTTCGTAATAAAAATGTGGCTTCATCGTGCCTTTAGTTTCGCCACGCTGTCCTTGGCCCGGTCCACATATTACGTGCTTATGTAATGTTATAGTGTTGTTATTAAATAAGCAATCTAAATTTTTTTTTCCATGACAGTTGCTTCCTACATTGATAGCTACATAAGATTTAATGCGCGTAGAGTTAACTTTTCACATTTGATATATGTGTCTTTTATAAATTCTAGATATTTCAGAAATAAATAATAATTATACAAAAAAACTTTGTATTGGACATACAACGTGCGTCGTATGTGTTTCTCTCCATAATGTAAAAGAAACCATACATAGATTATAGGGAATATTGATCATATAGGTTCAAAAACCATGAGTGTAGGATAAAAAAATCGAACAAGTGTATTTATAAAGTGTGTAGTTATAAAGTCGTATATTGTTCTAGTTAAATCTTTTTGGCCTGTTACGTTAAATATATTAAAAAAAAACGGCCCACAGAAAATGTTTATTTTCTGGCATAAGGTGTAAGTTACACCGTGTAACATTTAGAACACTTCTTGCACTGCAATGCATAGAGTTAGGTGTTTAGTTAACCATCCATGATGCCAATGTTGTACAGTCACTTTCAATTATTTCGTCAGTTTAATAGCTTAATGGAAAACAACAAAGAGGCAGACATGTCATCGTATATTCTAAGATTGGTAAGAAAAGTAGAGTGATTGACATAATCCTGCTTGCTAATTTTGTTGTGAAACGTGTTTACATGTAGGGGCTCGTGAATATGAGGGTTCGATCTAGAAAACGTGATACTTTAGAAAACCTTACTTTATTGTTGATATTTTTTGTTGGTTGTGTCCTATATACAAATATTATACCAGTTTCATGGTGTGCCGTTTTGGATAGCAAATGCCAGCTTTCATGCAAAACATAATATGTTCTAATAATGAATTTTCCATAGAAAACTGCGCCCATAGTAAGTTTACTCTGCAAATTCATAGATGGCGCTCATTGCATTTTCTAAAGCACCCCGAGACGGTCAAACGGTTTGATTCAAGCCGTCTGATGAAAAAATTACATATTTGATGAAACGGTTTGATCTTGGTTTAAAGGTTCTTCAAAAGGCACTGCGCAGTTTAGTTCTGTACGCCGCCGTAATCAGATTTGTGACGCAGATAAATTGTAAATTCCAGACAAGGATCGCGATTTCGTCGTGTTTATTACATTAATATCCTGCTTTAAAAGTAAAGAAAAAGAATTTGGTCAAGACATCTTCGCCACACACAACCTCACGCTACAAAATCCAACGCAAACTGGAGTTACTGGACTGAGTGGAGTCGTGTTTGTACAAACGCGTCGGAAGACGATCAAACGAATAGTCAAACACGACAAAAAATATGAAATTTCATCAAACAAGCTCCAAACCCGTGAGAATGTGTGACAAATCTTTCAAACTAACTATATAAATACATTAATTTCAAACGAACTGCAATTCGAATACACTCAATCTATGCAGTTTACATTAACGTGATCTTACGAATATATACATTATTATTTTCCACCTTGTACTTATTTACACTCTCTTTTTTTATACGAATAACTTATTACTCGTTAGCACTGTGATTTTCAAAAGAACCGCCTTTAACGTAAAATTGACGCATGCGCAACACAAGTAGGTATATACCTATGTATATCTGAATAATAATTAAGCTAAATGAAAAAACTTTTTAACAAAAAAATTAAAACCGACTTCAAACAAAATTACTAAAAAGTAAAAAATAACTGATTGGTAGTTTTCATTTACTATACATACCTTATCAAATATTTTCGAAGTCGGTGTGCTTTGCTTTGTATCGGCTGGCACCGACTTCGAAATTGTTTGATTAGGTATGTATAGTAAATGAAAACTATCAAGCAGTTATTTTTTACTTTTTAGTGCTTTTGTATGAAGTCGGTTTTTATTTTTTTGTTAAAAAGTTTTTATTTTTCCCTTATTTGTGTAGACAGTAGTAGCAAAGTAAGAATTCTAACGTGTTAGGCTTGTCAAATCAAACAAAATAAGCCCAAACTCAAAGTATCTACTATTAGCCGTTGAAGAGTTCCACCTATCCACCTTCTGGCCTTGCCATCAGATCAGGTCAACAACACCGAACCACTGTACTATCAACGAAAATAGAAACACTTGCAAAGTTTCAAGTCAATATGACAATTTGAAGTAGATTACATTCATCATTAGCTGTTTTTCCACCCTTAGGGTGATATTTTTCTTTGAAATTTAAATAGGACCAATCTGGAAGTATACCCTTTCAAACAAAACAAAAATTGTCCAAATCGGTTTATAAATGACGGAGTTCTGAGGTAATAAACTTTAAAAACAATACAGCCGAATTGAGAACCTCCTCCTTTTTGAGCAAGTTGGTTGAAAATTATAAATTAAACAAATAATAAGTACTTTGACGATAGAACAAACGTATTTTATAAACGAACAAACATTAATGAATATTTAAAGACTAGTAGCTAACAAGAAAAATGTAAATTTCAATTGAGGGGGCTATTTTGAGGTTACAGTTTTGATTAATTATTTATAAGTAAACAATTTTCGGGACAAAGAATTATTTATGGCGAACAATCAAGAACAAAGGAAGTACAAACGATATTTATTCAATACTAATAATATAAATGCGAAAGTTTGTGAGGATGTATGGATGGATCTAGATATTGTATAGATGCGTGGTTGTTTGTTACTCTTTCATGCAAAAACTACTGAATGGATTTTAATGAAACTTTACAATAATATAGCTCATATATCAGAATAACACATAGGCTACTTTTTTCCCCGGCAAAATGTACGTTCCCCTAGGATAGATCTGTTTTGTTTTTCTAGAGACGAACCCGAACGAAGCGAAGTTGAGCCGCAAGCGTGAAAATAGATATTCAAAAATTAGAAAAAAAATCCTCCGTTTGGGCAGATTTAGTGATCCTAATCTTAGATAGATCTACTACAATAGTTATGTATTTATTATAAATTACAGCACTAAAGCTTATTATGGGACATAATGATCTACTTCGAATTTTTCGACTATATCAACGCTCTGCACAATAGAGTACTTAGAAAAGTACTGCTTTGGCGTGATTAACCAACTCAGTAGCAGAAAATATATGAAACGTTTTTCGCGTTGTTCGTGTTTGTGCACCAAAGTGCGGCGTTGTGCTCTGTAATTGGAAAACAGGGTATATTTACCGGAGTCGATACTTTTAAAAATGTGTATTAAAGGCATTTTGAATATAACAGAAACAAAATAATATATTTTTTAGATAATATTTTATTTATAAATGAAATTGTTATTTAGATTTATATTAAGATGAAGAACCTCTGTAATGGTTAACTTAAAATAATTTTAGGACGAATGTGTCACTACAAAATTGCCAGGTCCATTTTTATACCATTATTCAAGGATATGATGAAGAAATATTTTTGAAAAATTAAACTGTGAAGCAAATAGCAACCATTGATTTGTATATCAGTGGAAGCAACGTTAAAAATACAAAAAAAAGTATTCTGCAATATATAACTTATTTACAAAGCCACAATTATTGCTTTGCTTGCAGACCGCCACCATGATTTTGGACTAATAATTTTATACAAAAATAATTATTATTATCAATTAATATAACCCGCGCCAATAAACGAATCTAAAGATTAAAATGACGTCTGGGTACTTGCAGTGACAGATGATAAGGTCTGCAAAAAAACCAAATAAACAAAATATTTTACATATAATATGTTTGCGTATATAATAATGACTTTATAATGAAGTCTTGGTCTTTGTAAAACTAAATCACATAAGAATAACTATAATATTACATTTAAAGGAAAAAAATATATTGAAGATGACCACATTTATTGGACGTCAGTTTAATAAATTCCGTTGATATGTATTAGAAAAAAAATAATCCATAAAAGAAGTTAATATTTCAGTTAAAAATCTATTATTTTAAGTAAAAGCACTTCTTTTAACACCTCGCAGTTAAGAAATTAAATATGGAAATCACAAGAAAAAACTTCAATGAAGAATTGGAAAATATAACCAAAAATATAAAACTTTCATGTTTTGTTGGATTTGATGCTGAATTTACTGCAATCCTAGCCGGAGAATGTTTCAAACACAGGTAAAGCTGTATATTTAGTTAGACATTTCTTTTTCGTTACCTACGTAAAAGCTAAAAATGTTAAAATTTATATACCTACAAAAATTATTTACAGATTATTTGATAGCAATAAAGACAGGTATGACCGTATGAAAAATGAAGTAAGCAAAATGATCATGACTCAAGTTGGCTTGACAATGTTCCAATATGATCGAAATCGTGATGATTATGTTGCTGTTGGGTATACTTTTCATTTATGTCCTCAAGTCTTTGGTGATATTGATCAATCTTTTATTTTTCAAGCTTCTACACTTAACTTCCTTTGTAAACACAACTTTAACTTTAATAAGGTACATATTTTTTGTAAATGTTTTAATATATATTATACTTAATTTTGATAAATGATAAATATTAAATTAAATTAGATATTATAATTATGACTTGCTTATGATTTGCTATAAAGAAATAAAAATGGAATTTACTTATATCAATAATAATTTTAAATTCATATTTTTTCAGTTTACATATGAAGGACTTCCATACCTTAGTAAAGCCGAAGAAAATCACATAAGACAACAGTTAAAAAATAAAACTTTATTTGATAATTTAATCAATACAATGGAAATGGCAGGTGAAAAGAAACTTCAAGAATATTGTTCAAAGGTTTCAAAGTTAGTATATTATAATGCCCATTATGTGTGTATATAGCAGTAAGATATACTGTACATAACTGTAGAATAAACCTTTTCAACTTCACTAAGATCTGTGAACTAGTATAACATTTAAAATATTTTTGTATAAACAGTGAGTCTAATCAGATTTTCCATAAGCATTATAAGTAGAACTTTCTTCTTCTTCTTCAAAATCTTTCTTAGTAAAAAAAACATACTTTATTCAAATGACACTATGGTAACAAATGCACAAAGCCCTAACTCCTGAACTAGAAAACTGTGTTTCAGGAGCTAGTACCTCCTCCTATAGAAGGCGAACATATTCATATGCATGAAATTACACACTTTAATTATAAGTGCTCACTTTTATTATAATTATAATTCAGTAGGAGTTTGACAATACCCTGCCTGTCAATAGCCGGCAGGATCTTCATGATGGGTTTTGCCAGCATCATCAAAAAAAACTTCATGCAACTTAAACTTCTTCCTACAAACATTATATTTTGATTTGATTGTTAAGTTATTTAAAAATAAATTTTAATTTTTAAAAATAATTTCTTTAACCACAATCTACATAAGTCTAAACTAATAGAACAAGATTTTTAAGTACTTCATATTAATGCTATTTGAAATACTTCAAGATATATAAAATATCTGTTGTTATACATATAATAAAAGTGTAACTGATAGCTGCTTGTTCGTGAAAGATATTTGAGAAAAACTATTAGTGAGGGTCTATTTTAACGCAATAGAACCCAAAACAATAATTATTTATATTATATACTAGCATTGCCCGTGGCTTCGCCCGCATTCAGATGACCAGCTCTCACCATACCTAATTTCAACAAAATCCAGTGGTTCTTCTGTGATGTGGTAACAGACAGACAAAAATTCTAAAAACTATAGATTCTGCCTCTGTATCGATAATTATGTTTTCAATAAGATTTTCCAAAAAATATTTAATGTACAGATTTGGCTTGGTTACAATTTTATTATATATATATAAACTAGCGGACCCGACAGACGTTGTCCTGTCTACACGTCTTTAATTTGAAAATTTCAAACTTTTTTTAATAATTTTTTTGATGAAAATTATTATTCAAATTGTGAACCTAAACCATTCCCAGATCCCCTTGAACACACACAAAAAATTTCATCAAAATCGGTCCAGTCGTTTGAGAGAAGTTCAGTGACATACACACTCACAGAAGAATTATATATATAAAGATTAGTTTATTTATCTGTGCCTTTGTTCGCCTTCGCGCTAATCTTAGAAACGGCTTCACATATTTGGGTTTTTACTAATATATTGTGGTAAGCTTCACTTAACATTTAATATTTGTTTTATTTAAATCGGTTCATTAATAAAAAAAATATGTCAATTTAAAGAATCAGAAGTTTTTAATATACAGATATTCTCACTTTATTATTATAAATTCTTTATAGGTGGATAACTGATGATGAAGAAGATACATTGTATTTAGATGTAGAAAACCCAGTAATGCGGTACATAGTCCACAATGAAGTAAGGCAGCGCTTCCCAAATGTGCTCACAACTAATAGCTTAGGTAATAGTAATAAGGTAATTTGTGTAGATGTAGCTTATTATGTAATATTTTAGGAAAGTGTTGCTATATTATATATATATATATATATATATATATATATATATATATGTATATATGTATATATATGTACATTTTAATATATGGTATCTGTATTGTTTTTTATGAAAGTTATTTTTGATAAAAAGTTATGTTTGGGTCAGTTTGTAGTGACCCTATTTGCTGTGCCAGCGGTTGCGGGTTTGAGTCCCGCTGGGGGCATTCATTTGTGTGATGAGTATGAATGTTTCTACTCCAGTCTTAGGTGTTTATATTTATAATACGTATGTATTTAAAGTTATGTATGTTTAGTGTATCAACTATCTGGTATCCATAACACAAGCCTCGTAGCTTACCATAGAACTAGATGGTGCTGTGTTAATGTCCCAACATATTTATTTATTAAATATTTTTATAGAATAAAAGCTTTGTAGAATAAAAATAAGAAAAACTTAAACTATTATAAAACTATATGTCAAATTTTGACTGCTTGAACATAGTTTAGTTAGGTTTAATCAATTTGATACTAAAGAGTATGAGTATATAACCTGCTTATAAATTCTTATCATACAAATGCTAAATGCATATGGTACAAGTAATTTGATTGAAGATGGATATATTAAAAAAAAATCATTAAACTTATTTCCAGGTCCTTATATACAAAGATAAATATGTGGAAGGAGCGAACGCCGCACCAATGGCTATCTTAGAAGAAAATCTAATGAACGATATATTAGGATTCTCACTAATAATAGAACTGCTAGCGGTACACAAAAAACCTATTGTCGGCCACAATATATTCCTTGATGTGATACTTTTGCACAACCAGTTCATTGGGCCCTTACCAAAAAATTATGAAGCATTCAAAAAGAACATACATAACTTATTGCCAATGATTTTTGATACAAAGTATATATCACACGAGATGGGACGGAAGCTAACATTTGATGAAGTGTGGAAATCTAATGCTCTGCAAGAGTAAGGGGTATTGTTTGCTTAATAAATTTTTTCAAGTATAAGAAGTAGATATTTTTAAACCAGAGATTGTATTTCTCAGTGTGTATTAGGTTTTCTAAGTAGCAATGTGCCCAGTGCCGTGTTATATGTCAAACTTGTCATTAAAGATGGTTTAGACTGAAAATGTAATTAAATTGTAATAAACAAAATTTTATAATAATAATATCTTTGTAACATATTAGATGATACATTTTTTAACAGCTATTTAATGAAAAAAAATTTTTTTTTTGCTTAAGTATATTAGTGTCTAGTTAAGCCAAACTTGTATCTCAGAAGTTTTCGCTCAGGAACTACTAATTCGATTTAAAAAGTTCTTTTGCATTAGATAGCCCGTTTATTGATGAAGGCTATAGGCTATATATCATCATTCTTCTATCCAAGCGAGCGGAGAAGTATTATAATATATAGTCTTAACTGTTCCATACTAACCCTTAAAAAGTAGCTAGGGACGAGTGGTGAATTACCAATAATATATAAAAGCTGAACAGTTTTGAAAATTGTTCAAATTACAACCAAAAATATAAAATAATAGGTAGTAACAAAAATAAATAATATAAATAAATGCTGAAACTAAAATCCAAACCTTAATATTTTGAAAAAAAACTAGTTAAAGCATCTCTCATCTTTACATGAACTCCATGGTCATCCCAAATAAACATATTTCATGTTTTCATAAATAATTTGACGACACGTTTGGCTCAGTTTGTAGTGACCCTACTTGTTGTGCCAGCAGTTGCGGGTTCGAGTCCCGCCGGGGGCATTCATTTGTGTGATGAGCATGAACGTTTGTACTGCAATCTTGGATGTTTATATTTATAATATGTATGTATTTAAAGTTATATATTATGTGTAGTGTATCAACTATCTGGTATCCATAACACAAACCTCACAGCGTACCATGGAACTAGATGGTGCTATGTTAATGTCCCAACATATTTATTTATTTATTTAATTATGTATATCGTGTGTTGTTTTCTTTTTCAGTCTATATGAATTCTTCTCACAGCGTAAATGCAAGAAATTGGAAGAAGGGGTTAATTTTATAAAATTAAGTACTCCATTTGATGTGAAGCAAACCTATCATGAAGCTGGATGGGACTCATATTGCTCAGGTTTGCTCTGTTATGTACATCAATATTAGACATGGTGTGACTTACACTAATTAGACTTTTATTATATGTATGTTTGTTACTCCTTTACTGCTGAATGAATTTACATGAAATTTAGTACACGGACTGTGTGCAGCGGTAGTCCACTGGAGGTAACGCGTTCTCTTATGAAACCGAATGAAGCAGGTTCAATTCCCGGGTCTACTCTGATATTTTCATGTGCGAATAATTTCCAACATGATTAACACTTGTCTAACGATGAATGACACCATCGTGAGGAAACCTGCGTGTCTGAGAGAACATAGCAAGTTTTCGAAAGATATGTGAAGTCCAACCAGCGCTCTGCCAGCGTAGTGGACTATAGCGTGATCCCCCTTTTATGGAAGGAAGGCCCGTGCACAGCAGTGGGACGTTAAAAAGGGCTGAATAACATCGATCCAAAAAGTACTAGCTACACAATCAGTGAAAAAAAATTGCCTTCACCAAATGAGCGCTCATTGGAACATTTGAGCGCGCTTTTAATTTTTTTTTTTTTTGTGAAAACAACTTTAATAGTTGCATTTAATGTTATATTTCCACTGTTGTATATTTTAACCTGTTTTGTTAACCAGAATAATTACTTTATCACAATTGGTGACAGTTTTAAGAGAACTTTTGCAGGGGATTGCGTATCTAGTACTTTTTTGATAAATGCTGATTAATAATAAAAATTACGGACAAGTGCGAGTCGGACTCGCCCACCGAGGGTTCCGTACAAATTTGTAGGAAATCTGTTTAACTTTAATTTTCAACTTTTTTATTTTTTGGAATTTGTCCTTTATTTGTGCTGTAAGACCTTGCTTTTTGCCATATTTTGAGTTTTCGACCCAAAACTTCTAAAGTACTTCCGGTTGACCTAGAATTGTCAATTTTTAACTTGCTAGGTCCACCCGTTCCTGAGAAAATCGGTGGTGACACACGGACAGACAGACGGACAAGAGAGTGATCTTATAAGGGTTCGTTTTATACCTTTTGAGGTACGGAATCCTAAAAATAATTATATGTTAGGTTACTGCTTCATTCGGCTGGGACACTGGGCGGCGTGCGAGATAAGCGGCAAGTACCGGGCGGTGGCGCCCGCGCAGAAGTTGGCGGCATTGGCGCCTTACAGCAATCGAGTGAATGTCATACGGGGAGCTGTGCCTTATATGGTATGTTCTGTTGGATATTTTATTTCTATGCTAATAAGAATAATTGTTTTTTAATTAAAAATGTACACTGGCTTTAAATTTTAACGTGATATAATTCTAAATATTTATTTTTTTAAATTGTAATAATTATAATAATAACAGCTCAAATTAATTTTTACACGAATTCACTTAACCTAAAGACTAAAGATTAAAGGTACGCTATCGCTAAGCTTTATTGATAGATGTTGGTAGAGTCCATATGGTGAATTTGAGGTTAAAAAAATAATATCTATATAAATACACCAGTTTTTTTTTTCAGAATTATTATTTTATTGTAGAAATCTTAATAAAATCAAATCAAAATATACTTGATTTAAATAGACATTTTTATAAGCATTTAATGGCATAACTGAATGCAGTATATATTGTAATATTTATTAAAACGTAAAAAAAATTAGGATGGTCCATCATATAAAAACCCCTATAAAGATCCCTTATTTTTTATATATTTTTTTGATCTGTATAATTAAATTATGTAATTAAAATACACAATACAAACATTCGTTCGTGAATCGGACTCGCACTTGGCCAACTATTAAACTTAGACTACTCATTTTACACTAACTTTTTCCTATAATTGCATATATAGAAAATTCATCGCTTAGAGCCTTTATATATTTTATGAGCAATAATAATATCGTCCGCTATAAAATACTTCCAGTCAAATGCGATTCATTCGTCTCCAATACGACACGGAAATCTTAATTCATTTTATATATAGTTACGGAAAGCTGGCAGACGACAGTTAATTAGTGTGTACTAAAATAGAAACAGTGTTCACTACATTGAATTGAATCTAAGACGGAGTCCCTGAATCTATTTCCGAATACGGAAAACACAATAGGGAATATGCATATCGCTTATATATTTTGTTTGAAATACTTTTTTTTGTCGAATATTTATCGACTTATCGATATTTTTAATTGTATTATAGTAATGAAAATTAAATATTTTATTAATAATTTGTTTTTAGTCTTATTATTTCTTACAAAGTACAAGGGTATAACGAAGTAAACTATGAATTAAATAAAACGAATGTCAGGTTTTTTTTCAATGAGAAAATAAAGGATCTAAATGAAATAATTTTGAATTCCAATTCGAAATCGTATTAGGAAACCCAGGCCATGCCAGCTGTGATAACCAGTAAGTCTACATAATATTATTTATGCATCGATCAAAAAAGTACTAGACACACCAATCAGCGATAAAAAAATGTCCTCACCGAATGAGCGCTCATTTGAACATATATTTTTTTGTGAAAACAACTTTAAGCATTGCTTTTAAGGTTCAATTTACACTGTTGTATATTTATTTCAACTGGAATAATTACCTAAACACAATTGGTGACAGTTTTAAGAGAACTTTTGCATGGGATTGTGTATCCTAGTACTTTTTTGTATCGATGTATTTACGTCATCCTTCTTCCAGAACCTGGTGGACAACGACCCTCCGAGCCATCGCCCTGATTTGCTTCATATCAAATCTATGAAGGAACGTGCTATTAACGTTGGAAAGGTATGTTTTATATATATATATATATATATATATATATATATATATATATAATATATATATATATATGTATTTATTGGGTTATTTGTTTAATATTTTCACGCCAATTTACTTAATATTTTTATTATGCCTATAGAATTTCGAATGTAGGTTAATTTTCAAATATATTAAACCTTTATTGTTTTTATTTTGGCTTTAATGGCTTATAGTGCTTTAATGTACTTTAAAGGTGGATAATTATTTATGATCCCATAATTACATACTTTTTACTATGGGTGGCAAAATACAAGTGTGCTTCCGAGACACATCTATGTGATCATTGACATGACTACGGAAAAGCCCAATCGAAGGATTATTATTGTAGCGTAACTACATAGAGCAGACTAACTAAACTATAAAACTAAATTAGAATAATTTAATAAACAAAAGCAACGGAGATTCTGTCAATCAAGGAAAAAATGTTGTTTTAATTTGTATATTTTGCAATTTTTATTGATTCTTGTGTCTTTTATTGATGATTGAATTGATTGACACAAATGTTGCCTGGAATAAATTGTTCACTTAGCGATAAGGCTGTCTGCTGTATTATTTCTATTTTCACTTGTTTATGTCATAAAGCGGTGTGGTGTATAGAATATAACCAAAGACTTGTTTTATTCAATAATACTAAGATAGGAATGAACAAAAAATTTTTTTTTATTTTATTATAACTAGCCTTCTAAAGATTGATCGTTATTCCATCTGCACATGATGCTTTGTTGTTCTTGAGCTGTTTGAGAGCTCAATCACATGTGGTGTACAAATCATTAGTGTATAGTCATTATAAGAATATATTTTTGTGGAATTTGATTATAAAAAATGAAATGCTATTCTTTGATAAGCGCATCGTTTGAAAACCGCGGGACCGATTTGGCTAATTTTGTTTTAAAATGTTCGTAGTAGCTTGAATAAGGTGTAATGAAAAAAAAAATGTTTTCCAGAAAATCGATAAATTAAGGGAAAATAAGAGATTTCTCTATAGAACTTTTGTATGACCTTACAGATCAGAAATAAATTAATTAGAATTGAGACAGTAAAAATACTTTCTCTCTCTAATAAATATCTATACATATAATAAAATTGTAACTGATCGCTGTCTGTACAGGGATGATATTTGGGAAAACCTACTATTCGGGCTCTTTATTAACGCAATAAACAGAAAACAATGATCTTTAGAATTCTTGTCTGTTTGTCTGCGTGTTTGTGCGCGCTAATCTCACAAACGGCTTAACCGTTTTGGGTGCGGTGTTCAGAAATAAAACAAATACTAAATACCTAAAACCTAAGCTACAAAGTGAATGTACTATTTGTTTTATTTCAATCGGTCGATAAATACTCGGTTCAGAATGTATTCAGCCCTTCTTAACGCCCCACTGCTGAGCACAGGCCTCCCTTCAATACGAGGGGGATCAGGCCATAGTCCACCACGCTGGCCAAGTGCGGGTTGGCAGACTTCACATGTCTTTCGAAAACTTGCTAGGTTCTCTCAGACATGCAGGTTTCCTCACGATGTTTTTCCTTCACTGTAAGGCAAGTGGTAATCATGTTGAAAATGATTCGCACATGAAAATATCAGAGGTGCGAGACCCGGGATTTGAACCCGCTTCACTCGGTTACCCAAGCGAGCGAGTCACCACTGGGCTACCACTGCCTTGCCGGTTCAGAATAGTTATGTCAATTTAAAGAATCACCAAGGGACCCGATCGAAGCGTGGGTGAGTCGTTAGTTACCTTTATATTGTCAAATTGAGTATTTCCTGTCATCATCAAATTGTAAATATATATGTGCCTAATGTAATAACGTTCACAGACGTTGTCTTGTTCTAAATTTAAAAAATTTGTTCATAATCTTTGAGGTTATACAAAAAGAAAAAACACTTTCGGTTCTCCAATATTTGCGATCTTTTCGGGCAACTGCGAAATAGTTGTCCCTAAAAACCTTATTTACCAAGTGTTACGCATCAACGAACAGTATTTCATTTTTTTTAAATATAGATTTTATAGATAGACGTTCCCATCCCAGATAAAAGAATTCAAAATAATATTACAATTGTAGAATATTCCCAGATACACGAAATTGATCGGCATCATAAAGACTATTTATAATGCTCCCGGGAACGCTCAATCGACCTTCAAGAGACAAAACTGGCATTATCGTTACATTTACAGTTACAATGTTACCTGAATGATACATTTAAAATTACATCATTCGCAAACGTTAAAAGAAAGCCGATGAACCTATCTATCCAGTTATTGTACGAGTAATATATTTTTGTTAATCCAATAATGAACTGCAATCAAACTAATGGGTGCTGAGATTGTCTTACGAGTATGTACCTACACAAAAAAATATTTTCGTTATCCATCTGGCAATTTTTTTTGTATGGGTGTTTCAAGTCTTTATATGCAAAATATAGTAATATATGTACAATTTAATTTAATCTGTGATATAATTTAACCACAAAACACTACACCACACTATGCTTATAAAACAAAAGAATATAGTATTATTTTCATTATTCATTGTTTTTTTCAAATTTAATAATAAATATTATTTATTTAACTAAAACATATATTTTAACTAATATATAAAATATCCCTTATTTTTTTAAAGAAAGTAAACGATATTTTTGACAAAATCGAGAACTTAGCATAAACAGCAAGACACGCTACTATTTTTGACTTTGACATTTATTTTGGCGGGCACCGTCTATATAATTCTTTAGTCTGAGTCTGAGCCGTCTTTGTTACAATACATGTGGAATACTGTAATGTGGCTTTTATAGTAAGTAAAGTGATGTGAAGCTATTAACTAGATTGAACATAAAGATAAAAGTTTTAATAGGAAAGTGTACGTTTCCATTGTACTATATTTTACTAAAGTTTTATATTAGATAATACCAGTGAGCCATTTCCCTGCATATCCAGTCTCATAATTATATAAGGAGCACGAGATGCTATTTACGTTGCGTATTAAATTTGGGCCAACGCTCCAAAATTAGATAGCCATATGTTATGGAACGGTTATGGTAGTAATAATTGTCACCGGTGTTTGGTCGGTATACGGAACGTTTTCCAGTTATTATCGTAGCACGATGTGTGGGATGTGTTTGAGATGTACAATAAAATCGGCCAGCGTGTGTACCGCGGCGACACTGTGTTTGTTCAACACGCCAGTTGAAAAGATTTGACAGATGGCGGGAAGCCAAACCGAGCACACATACGTATTCACTCACACAGAAACGATTATCTGTTGTTACATATATTTATATTCACACGCACACAGAAACAATTCTGTGTTACATAAATTTATATGCACACATACAATAGGTATACGCGTCTTGCATTTTCCTATTACCGCACACACACGTCTAGCCGTTGCCGGTTCAAACAAATTGATAATGCTCGAGTGTCACGTCAGTGGGAATCTTTATTTTCGTATCCGGAACATTTTTTCGAACCGCTTGATTTTTTAAATGTAAAAAAAGTAATTTTTCATGCCTCTGTCAAGGTTGATTTAAGGTTAAGTTATATATAATTCGTATGGCAATGTCGCTCGTATTTTTGTTAAGCGATTTGGCGCTGCGTCCGATACAGTTTGCTTTAAAAGCATTTAATAAATTACTTTATTCTGTAATCATTACAACAATTAAACTAAGTAATGTACTTCTTTGAAGATATTTCTGTACGCTTCTATATCCCAGCTCCTATATATGTTATATTGAAAAATCATTAGATTTATTTATTTTACGATTCATAATTCAATGTAAGCGAGTGAATATGATCGTAACATATACCAATGAAACGCTCTATTTATATAAATAAATGGTGTTTATATAACAATGTATGTAATTTACTTTGTAAACAAAGGTGACGTCGCTCTTTGCCTCCTTCGGCGCGGTGGACATCAAGCCTTACGGAAATCGAACCGCCCTCATCGCGGCCGGCACGCATTACACGTACGTAAGCAATGGATTGTAGTTATTATATTCTGATTCTAGTTATTTATGTCTACGCTATGTATATGTATGTTTAAATCAGTGGAAACTTTGTTGGTTTGTGTAATATTTATCTGATAAGTACCTACTTTTGTTATTTAAAATACTGTATGCTTCCCAAATACAATAAAATAAAAATAAAAAATATTATTATTTTAAATGGTTTCAATAGTATTTTGTATATAATTTAAACTACAGATTATATTTTAATATAACTAAATTTAAGTTTTTTTTTTTTTAAATATGTAAATTTTATCTAAAACTAAGTTTTTAATACGACTATAACTGATAAACTGTAATTTTGCTGAAAATGACGGTAATCACATTCATAATATCGATAAAACGTATTTATAAACTCTCAGCAAAAAGGTTTACTATAAAAATATTAATTTAAAAAAAAGTCATTTTTAATGCATACGTTATGGTTATGGCCTTAATTTCATGAAAAAAATCCAGCCTACATTATAGAATACAATCGTTATTATTATTATAATATTATAAATGTGAAAGTTTGTGAGTATGTATGGATGTTTGTTACTCTTTCACGCCAGAACGGCTGAAATGATCTGGATGAAATTTGGTACAGAGATAGATTATAGTCAGGAATAACGCATAGGCTACTTTTTATCCCGAAAAAATGTACGGTTCCCGTGGGATAGATTTGTTGTTGTTTTTCTATTTTAAGTAGAAAATACTTGAATTAACTGATTTTGAAATTGTTAATGTTACAGTGCATATAATAATATATTGATCAATTTCCAGAGCGGATAAAATATTGAAGCAGTTTAAAAACAATAAAGAATACAGAATTACTCCATTTAGCGTGTTCAAGCACTCGCCGGCGGGCCGCGTGAGTATATGGTGAGTTTTGAGGTTTTATTTAAATGCTTATTAGCGATGTTTTCCATACATATAATAAAATTGTAACTAAGCCGAATCTGTACATTAAATATTTTTTGGAAAATCTTATTGAAATAGACATTGTTATCGATACAGAGGCGGAATCTATAGTTATTAGAATTTTTGTCTTTCTGTCTGTCTGTCAGTCTGTCTGTTACCGCATTACGGAAAAACCACTGGAGGGATTTTGATGAAATTTGGTAAGATGATAGCTGGTTATCCGGGTCAACATATAGGATACTTTTTACCGCGGGAAATGTCTCATTTCTGAGAAAAAACAAAAACTGCAATGTAAGAGTATCATCTGAACGCGGGCGGAGCTGCGGGCAATGCTAGTATACTTATTAAAGTAGGAGTAAACTTTACAAAAATTCTATATTAAGTGTTTAAATAGAAAGTTTTAGAGATGATCATTAGTTCTTGCCCATAGCTCAGGTAGGCAGCCTATGTCTTTTCCTATAGTACAACCTATGTCCTTACCAAATTATATCGAAATCTGTTTAGTGATTTAAGTGTAAAAATGTAACAAGCAGACATATTGTAGTTAGTTACGTTCGTTTCGCACGGTAGTATTTGTAATATTACTTTAGCAGTCGTTTTACCTTTTTGGATTTTTTCGTGTATTATATTGATTTTTGACAGGCGGCGTCTCTCCCGTGATTATGATTGCTGTAAAATTTATTTATTTTTTTATAATATTACTGATTTAAACTTTATATAAATGATGGCACAAATTGACCAGCAATCGATTCGATATATTTTATATTTTACTTTTAGGAGCAGCGCTTTAATAACTGGCAGTATCTTACTTTTCTTTTTACACAGAAGAGTAAATAAATAAAATAATTTAATATTTTTTTTCAATTGTTAATAATGGATATCATAATAATGAATACAGATACAAAATCATTTCCAAAATGTGTAAACAAGGGTACCTATAGTATAGAAATAATAAGAAGGAAAAGTTGTAAACTTATATATGTATAAAATATATAAATATATCTATATATGTACATCAAATTACTGAGGCACGGGACCTAAATGTTTTTTTTTTCTTCATCAAACTTGATTAATCTATACTTAATATTATAAAGAGGCAGAGTTTGTTTGTTTGAACGCGTTAATCTCAGGAACTACTAATCTGATTTGAGAAATTTTTTTTGCAATAGATAGCCCGTTTATTGAGGAAGGCTATTGACTATATATCATCCCGGCAAAATGTACGGTTCCCGTGTATCCCACGGGAAACATAAAGTAGATAAAAGCTAATCCGATTAGCTTTTATCTACTTTAAGGTCATGTATTACTTTATTATCACCACAATGTTGACTATAGACTTTTATACATAATTTAGTTATAATATACTTTCCTCATTAGTACAAGAGACTGGTAATTTAATTTATAGTAAGTAAATATGTTTTTTTTTTTTTGCTTTTGTGAAATAAAGCCTTTCTACCTCGAACTTGTATTTTTATTTACTCTGTGCAATTTAGTACTTTCAGGCCATGGTCACTTAAAAAAATAGGATTTTTTTTAAATATATTTAAATTTTTCCAAAAAAAATACATCCTACAAACCCACTAACAAACCCAGGCAAAGCTATGTATTTATTTAAAATACCTTCACAAACAACTACAAAAATAAAAATGTCCACTAACGTTCATCGAATTCAAGACGCCATTTAAAACGAAACTTGCGTTATAAATCTACCTTTATTAACAATAAGTCCCACTCCCCGATGGCAGTCAGACCAGACAAAACATTACCGATATATGTTTGTTTATTTATGACAGAACTCCAAACCAAATCCAAACTGTTATTTCGTTCGGTGGTTTTATAAAAGAATTTTTTTTTCAATGTTTTGATTATCTTTGATTATAAAATAAACCTTTTACTGATATTTTTAAAGCCATTAATGCTTTTTTATGAGTATAATCTATCGTGTCTTACGTTTAACGCGACGTCAAGTTATTTGTCTGCGTTTAAAGGTTCCCCAATGCACTAATATAGTCTAAGATCTCTAAACGATTCTTAAAAATGTTTATTACCAGTACTAAAGTTTGGAAAATCACATTTTCGGCATGTTTTACTCCTATACTCTCTTTTGGCTACCACTTTAATCTAGGCTATAATATTATGAAGAGGCAGAGTTTGTTTGTTTGTTTGAACGCGCTAATCTCAAGAACTACTAATCCCATTTGAAAAATTCTTTTTGCATTAGGTAGCCCGTTTATTCAGAAAGGCTAGAGGCTATGTGTAGTATATAGTCTATCTATTCCATACTAACCGTTAACACGTACCTAGGTATGAAGTTGAGAGAAGCGAGAGTAAGCCGTTAGTTTTTTTTATAAAAAAAAATTACATTTTTCGTCAAAATGAAGCTGCTCGCAAGGAAGCCTGTGATAGTTATCATTTTAAAAACAAGTTTTAATGATCTTGAACTATTTGGCGGCAAGAAAAAATAAAATTAAAATGAGAGTTTTAAAATCTAAATTGTGAATATTTAACTAATTTTTACTATTGTCAAGCCCGTCGCGTTTACATTATTACGGCAGTTTTCAGACATGGTGTTTTTGTCCTAATTGATGCATAAATATTATATTTTGCGGGTAGCTTATTTCCATATTATGTTATAAATAAATTTGATATAGATATTCCCTCTGTATATTGGTGAAAATCGAATGAAAATCTGTACAGTAGTTTTTACTGAAAACTACTAAAATTAGATCCAAAAAACACAAACTTAACGAGTCGGAATATTATAACTTATGCTAAGTAATATAACTTGAATTGTGTATAATCAAAAAAAAATTAATTAGCCAATATATAATGAATAAATGAAATTAGGTTTTCCATTCATAAATGCAATATATTCGTTAGCTGTAATTGAAAACGTAAGCATACAATTATTAGCGTAGTGATGTCGGTGTAAATCAAAGTAAATCGGGCATCAAAACATGAGTTCTCAATGCAGCGTGAACGCGACGTGTTTGCAATTATTACACTAGATCGATTCTACTCGGAGCAAATCAATTTAATTCCGATTGCATTGGGATGTTGATATCCAGCTTAATGTGAAACCGTTATATACATCTATACATATAATAAAATTGTAACTAAGCCGAATCTGTATATTAAATATTTTTTGGAAAATCTTATTGAAATAGACATTATTGTCGATACAGAATCTACAGTTTTTAGAATTTTTGTCTGTCTGTCTGTTACCGCATCACAGCAAAACCACTGGAGGGATTTTGAAGAAATTTGGTATAGTGATAGCTGGTTATCCGGGTCAACATATAGGATACTTTTTCTCGCGGGAAAATATCACATTTCTGAGAAAAACTACAAAAACTGCAATGTAAGAGTGTACCAATATGTAAAACCTAAGAATTTGGTTTTAGGTCATCTGAACGCGGGTGGAGCCGCGGGCAATTCTAGTCATTTAAAATAACGAAAACTTGCAGTGACTTCAAACAGTTACTATCTTATTGCTGTTAATATAGATTAGACTAACAGATTTTAAGTATCGTTTTGTAGAGAGATTTTGTACGTTTTGGATTTTTTTTTTATTTTTTTCACCTATATTTTATGGCTAACTCTATATTTCTTTTTTTTTAAATCTTATGTCTTTATTAATGGAGATTAAAACTTTTTCAAAGCCAGAAGGAACATACTTCATACACAAATCTAACATTTGCTTACTGTACCTACCTAAATCATATATTTACCTACAATTCAAAAGCCTCATTTCCAACAAATTGCAAAAAAAAAAATAAACATTGTTTTTTTTATTAGATCTTTAGAAGGTATTTCTTTAAATTTAGGAATTTTAATTTGAACCGATATTTAATCGGAGTTATTTATTTTATAGTTGAAGCCTCACATCTATTAATTCTTAGATGACCTAAATGATGTAATACTATTTACAAAATCTGCATTACAGCATGAAACAGATAATAAATATTTTTTAAATAATTATAATTAGTTAAATGTTACCTATTTATAGAACATACCCCCCCAAAAAAAATAGTTATTGAAATTTTTTATTGTGTGCATTTCACGCATAAACTTATAAACCGATTTTAACTAAATTTTCAACTGACTTCAAAAAGGAGGAGGTTCTCAATTCGACTGTATGTTTTTTTTTTATGTTTGTTACCTCAGAACTCCGTCATTTATTAACCGATTTGGACAATTTTTGTTTTGTTTGAAAGGGTATACTTCCAGATTGGCCCCATTTAAATTTCAAAAAAAAAATACCACCCCTAAGGGTGGAAAAATAACTAATGATGAATTTAACCTACTTCTAATTGTCATATTGACTTGAAACTTTGCAAGTATTTCTATTTCCGTTGATAGTACAGTGGTTCGGTGTTGTTGACCTGATCTGATGGCAAGGCCAGGAGGTGGATAGGTGGAACTCTTCAACGGCTAATAGTAGATACTTTGCGTTTGGGCTTATTTTGTTTGATTTGACAAGCCTAACACGTTAGAATCCTTACTTTGCTGCTACTGTCTACACTAAAAAGGGAAAAATAAAAACTTTTCAACAAAAATATAAAAACCGACTTCTAACAAAAGCACTAAAAAGTAAAAAATAACTGATTGGTAGTTTTCATTTACTATACATACCTAATCAAATATTGTCGAAGTCGATGTGCTTTAGCTAAGTAATTAAAGCCTACCTATTAAATACATACCTAATCAAATATTTTCGAAATCGGTGCCAGCCCATACCAAGCAAAGCACACCGACTTCGAAAATATTTGATTAGGTATGTATAGTAAATGAAAACTACCAATCAGTTATTTTTTACTTTTTAGTGCTTTTGTTTGAAGTCGGTTTTTATTTTTTTGTTAAAAAGTTTTTATGTATAGTGATAACTTATTCTATACCTCCTTATACTTGGGTCAACATTTAAGATGCTTTTTACTACAGGAAAATCTTTAATTCTCACGGGAAACCACAATAACTTTTTCATCATCCTTAGAAATTTACATGGCTAACGCTGGCCAAGCCTTAAGAGATACATCAAAACAATGTACTAGGAAAACGTTGGTCTTCTAAAGGCTTATATATAGAAAAATCCCCAATAGCCTATATCTATCTCCTTTTTTTTGTTTTTTTTTAACGTTGGGAAATGCATTTACGCACGAGGTGTGGGACTCACCGGCGTAATAAAGCCAGTACTACCCACTAAAACCTTCCCCCGTCTTAATGGGGCGTCGCAGGATCGCTTACGCATTCAACTACGACGCCCCGACGGCAGGTCTGCCGAAGCAGACCACAACAACCACGGGGTTGCTCCAAGGTCCACTCTGCTATCAGAGAAGTACCAGGAGCAACCCGCATGGTACACCGCCCTCCGAAGAGGGCCACCTCCCACGGCCCACCGAAGTGGGCCACCTCCCTGTGCGTTTCTTGGCTTCGCGCCCGGTTGGGTTGCCGGGCACTACTGAGCCCCCCCACCACGACAAGGTGAACGCACGTTTGGGGGACAATCTATAACGTCTATAATGTTTCGCTAATACTAAATATAATTTAATTTTAAAAACATAACTTACTAAGAACTAATTTTATGATAGTTTATGAATGGTTCAAAAATAATATCTGCTGGTGTAAAATCATGTAATAAAATTATAATCGTTAAACCGTTATAATTGGTCCAAACCACGCCGGAGATCTGCGGTTTGTTTATACTTGCGTAGTAAAATGACTGTAGATTAATTAAATACCGGATACCCCATATTTATCTATATTGCAGATACAGTTAATAGCTTGTACTTTATAGAGTCCCAATTTTCATGTATGATATAATTTTCATAGACAATCGTT